ACCAGTTTTTTGTCAGGAACTGGCCTAAGAGCACCATCTTTCTCCCTATGTCTCCCAAGTAGCTGGGATCACAGGTGTGCACTACTACAGGTGTATGCCACCACATCCAGCTTGTTTGTTGAGCGGGGGCATGCTTTTTGCCCCAGCTGACTTCAAACCATGATCTTCCCAATCTCCCAAGTAGCTGGGATTATAGCAGTAAGCCACTATACCTGGCTTAAATTTGTTAATAAATTTAATACAACTTAAAATTCTATAAAATCTGGAAAACACGGCAGTTTGGAAGGAAAAGTAAAACACCCCAAAACATGGAATTACCATGTAATCTAGCAATTCCAATTCTGAGTATATATATATATATATATATATATATATGAATATGTGTGTATATATATATATATCCAAAATAATGGTATCAAGAGACTCCAACAGATATCTGTACACTCATATTCATTGTAGCATTATTCACAATAGGCAAAAGTAAAGTAAGTCCATTCATGAATGACTGAATAAACACAAACATGGCATATATACAATGGACTATTATTCACCCTTTATTTCTCAGGGACAGAGGTTTGAACTCAGGGCCTTATAGCTTGCTAGGTAGGTGCTCTACCACTTGAGCCTAGTCCACAGTCATTATTTACCCTTAAAAAGGAAATTCTGATACATTACAATATGGAAGAACCCTGAGGCCATTATGCTAAGTGAGAAAAGGCTGCCACAAAAAATACAAACACCATGATTCTGCATGAGGTGCCTAAAATAGTCAAATTCAAACACACAGCAGAATGGCTGCTGCCATGGGAAGGGGAAATGGGGGCTTACTGTGTCTAATGAGTATACTTTTTTAATAAGGAAAATGATCTAGTGATGGATGGTGGTGAGGGTTACATAATAATGTAAATGTACTTAATGCCACTGAACTGCACGGCTAAAATGGAAGCTAGGGACATTGCTCAAGTGGTAGAGCACTTGCCGAGCATGCACAAGGCCATGGGTTCAATCTCGAGTACCAAAAATAAGAAAAAGAAATGGTTAAAATAACAAATGTCATGTTTTGAAATTTTACCACAATAAAAAAAAATCCATAAAATCTACTTTCTGTTTTCTCCATAAATATCAATGCATTGAAAGAAAGCTGAAGAAATATTTGGAAGGCTTTTGGAAAAACTGTTATTACGGCTACAAACTAGTGGCTCACACCTATAATCCTAGCTACTCAGGAGGGAGAGAGCAGAAGGATTGTGGTTAGAGGAAAGTCAGGCAAAAAGCAAGATCCTATCTTAAAAATACCTAATACACAAAAAAGGACAGGAGTGGCTCAAGTGGTAGAGTGCCTGTCTAGCAAGTCTGAGGCCCTGAGTTCAAACCCCATACCACCACCATCACCAAAACTGTGTTACAATTTAAAAATGTAGCAATGCCCTAATAATTTTATATCCTGAATCAAACCATCAACAGGCCCGAGGCCTGGTAAAACAATACACAAATGAAGCCAGAAAAGAGGAACACTATCAAATAACAACCAACCATGCCAACAGAAATACTATCACATAGTCACATACAAAGGCACCAATGCTCCATACATGAAGTGTATGTTTGCTCTGTCCAACAATTTAGAATGGAGATAATGTGAGTAAGGGACTAATTTTTTTTTTAATTTGCAGTACTGATAGTTGAACTTTAGGCCTTGTGATTGCTAAGATGAGACACTCTGCCAGCGCAGTGAGAGACTAATTTTTAACTTCAATTTCACTTTAATTTAAACAGCCACAGCAACTAGTGGCTACCATATTGAATGATGTAAATAGATTAGTAAACTCTTTAGGTTCAAACTCAGGACCTCATACTTACTAGGCAGGTACTCTACCACTGAGTCACGCTCCCAGCCTTTTTTTGCTTTAGTTATTTTTTTAGGGAGGGTCTCACACTTTTGCCCATGGCCAGCCTCAGACTACAATTCTCCTACCTACAGCCTCTTGCATAGCAGGGGCCACAGATGGGTGCCAACACACCTGGCTTATAAATTAAGGTGAAGACAGCATTTTTCCCAATCTCCACCTCCCAAGTAACTGGGATTACACATGTAAGCCACCATATACAGCCAAAAAAATAAAAACTCTTTAACACAAGGTTACTTGAGATTTCTCAGCCAGCAAATTGGAAAAACTGTAGATTGTGATCAAAGCAGAAAGTCTGAACAAGTGATTTGGAGGGTTCATGACATATCAGCAATGACAATATTCAGGGTGAGACTTTGACCAGGTAGTTGAAGAAAATTAAGAAGAGAGCACAATGGCTCAGGACTGTAATCTTAGCTACTGGGGAGGCAGAGATCAGGATAGCAGTTTGAAGTTGGCCTGGGCAAATAGTTCGAGAGACCCTATCTCAAAAATACCCAATACAAGGGGCTGGTGGAGTGGCTCAAGTGGTAAGAGTACCTACCTAGCAAGTGTGAAATGGCTAAAGTTTAAGAGTGCCTGCCTAGCCTAAAAAGATGTTTAACTGTGCTAAATATTTTCCAGGTCCACTTTTTCACTTTTCTACAATCTTTTCTGTTCCAGAAAGCTGAACTGCATAGACTTACCAACAGTTTGCCTTGTCCCCTGGCTTCTGGTATGGCCAATACAGAATCCCGGCAAGAAATCAGGAGTTTAAAGTCAGGAAATTGATTCCTCCAACTCCCTCTCTACAAGATAACTCAAGCTAGCTGTCCTACCTCCAGGAGGTCACCATTCCCCTCATGGCAGTCAAATACCCATTGCCTCTTTAATTCCTCCAGCCTAGGGATGTTAATAGTTTGGCTACAAGTTACTACACTATTTCTTGTGGTACCATTAGACTTGAAACTTTATGAACATTCAAGTGTGTCCTGTGTTCCTGTTGAGACCCTATTAGTAGTGATCAGTGATGACCAGAACAACAATGATGATGCAAGATTGTAAGAGAGAGTAGTAGAAAATAAGAAAGTGAATAATATTTAAGTAACTGCTAACATAAGTTCTACATTGAAGAAATTCTCTCAACTCTTTATAGATAATAACTCATTTAATCATCACAACTACCCTATGTAGTTAGCACAGATTTTTGCATTTCGTTTCCTGACACCAACACCCAGCACAGCTGTTGGTTCATGATAAGCACTTAAATATTGATTTCAAATACAAACAACAGGACTACCTGTGTGGCTTAAGCAGTAGAGTGCCTGCCTAGCAAGCGTGATTCCCTGAGTTCAACCCCCTATACCACCAAAATAATAATAATAATAATAATAATACAATTAGCAGGTTTAGTAAGGAAAAGCTGATTTTTGTAGTATTTTTTAACATTTCCCCTATGTATATTTTATTGAACTATATGAAGATCTTGGAATTTTAACTTCCCAGATCACAGAAACTAAACACTAAATGAGGCCACATGTAAATGATCTCCTTGGGTAGCTTCCCACAAAGAACTTGTGCTTCAAATTTTTTAAGTGTATTATTCAAAATCAAAGTTGCTTTTTTTTTCTTTTTTTTCTTTTTTGGCGGCACTAGGGCTTGAACTCAGGGGTCTCAAGCTTGCCATGCAGGCGCTATTACCGCTTGAGCCCCTCCTCCAGCCTTTTTTTTATAATGGGTTTTTTCCGGATAGGGTCTCCCGAACTATTTGCCGGGGGCTGGCTTCCAATCGCAATCCTCCAGATTTCTGATTCCTAAATAGCCAGGATTACAGGAGTGAGTCACATGCGCCCAGCAGAAATTTTAAAATACTTATTTTGTACCTGCAATCCATGGGCTGATTTAATGGATCAGAGCACCTGTAACTATCAGGTAGGGGGTGCCCAGCTAGCTCAGTCGGCAGACCATGGGACTCAACTATCAGTTATGAGTTAAGTAAACAGATAAAAAGAAAGCTGAGGACAACAAAAACATGCTTGTGAATATAAAGCACAAAAATAAAGGGAGAGGGATGGCTGGGGTTGTAGCTCAGAGAAAAATGTTTGCCTAGCATGCTGGAGGCGCCAGGTTGGATCCCCAGCACCAAAAAAAAAAAAAAACAAAAACAAAAACAAAAAAAAACCCACAGGTAAAGATGAGTATTTAATCAGTCTGCATAAGCATCCGATTTTCAACTCATTAATCCTACAGTTAGAACCCAAGTCAGCAAGATCACCAACTATATACATATAAATAAGGTACAGCAAGAGTTGAATGTGAAAATTAGGGAAGAAAGCATGAAACATGTAAATCAAAGAGTGAGCAAATACAATAGATATGGTAACACTCCACCGGATGCTCATACAGTTACAAGGAATAAGCAAGGCATCTATGATGTCCAGCTTACAAATAAAAACTTAAAAGTCAGGGAAATAAGGTTAGAGGGCCAATATGAAGCATAAACAAGAACTCCGAAGATATTCTGAAACCATCTTTTTTTCTTTATATCACGTACTCCAAAGCGGGTGGCGGGGGGGACGGGACAGATTTACACGTATACGAATCTAGAAACCCGAGAAGTTTCGAGAATAATGGATTCAAGCTGGAGTGAAAATCGGCAAGGAACAGGGAGGTGTGAGTCAAGACTACGTCTGGAAAGGAACTGCCGGATGCAACACCTGGACACGGAAGGTAGACAGATAAGCATCCTTAAGTGGAAGGTGGAAAAGCATTGGGGTTGGATCTGGCTGAAGAAAGACAAAACAGAAAAGCACGACCTGCTAAGAAGCAACAGCGAGAGTGAAACTTACAGATAGGCCAGCTCCATACCACTATCGAGCAGTACAAAACTTACAAATCAGACTCTACGGGATGGGGAAAGGCCAGTCCGCGACCGACCAGCAGCTACAAGTTTCGGAAAAGCGGCAGGGATGTAGCTTCGCAGCCCCACCCCACGGCAGCAGCTCCTCCCCAAGGAGGATCTCACGAGGCCAACCGTCCGACTCAGGCTCCCCCCGCGAGCCGAGGTCCCACTCCGCCCCGGCCCCGCGGCGCAGAACGGCCTCTTGGGCCCCTCACCGAACGCTGCAGCTCCCCAAGCCAAAACGAGGCGCGCTCCTTTCCGCTGGGATCTGGGTCGTGGTAAAGCGCCTGCACTGCCTGGTACACGAGCTGCAATGTCGGCTTTGCTCCTTCCATGGTGGTGGCGGTCCTGGTGGCGGCTACGACTCTGATTCTTCTCCCGAGGCTTTGGGTGCTCCGCCTTCGCGCTTCCTCACTGTCTCGGCCACAGCCGCTCCCTGACTGGCGCCATCTCCTCCTCTTCGGCCGTTACCGGAGCAGAGGGGTCCCCCCGTGGAAGTTGCCCCCTCGGAAACAGCGTACAGGCCGTATTCAAGTTCCAGGTCTTTTTTTCCCGGTATTTTTCACTATAATCCACACTTTTGAGTCTGAACGTAGGTTCTTGCTTCTTCACCTGCAGACTTGCGCTCTGAAACCTATCTCCACATGACACAAACCACGTAGCTCACCTAAGCAGCGTTTAACCAGACCGGAAGTGGCACTCCGGATGCCTTTGGCACACTTCCGCCCGATGCACTACAAACGGCCTCCTTCCTGGCACGCCTCCTCTTGTCTCCCCGCCCCCTTCCCGGAAGTGGACCCTGCAGGGCCAGGAGCTGGGCCGAAGTGTAATGTGGTCGTCTAGGTTTTATACGTCCCCTTGAGCTTTCAGGCCAACTTGAGTCAGAACCTGAGCCACTCTCCTCTCCCGGGCAAAGGATCCGAGGTCTTTCCTCCCCCTTCCGACCTTCCAGCCCTCTCCAGGTAATCCTTTCTGCCCCCAGGGGGTGGTCAAGGCGCGCTAATTCAACTATCTGTATTGTCCACGGTACTGGAGATCCAAACGTGACAGCTATTTACAGACCTGGAATATGTGCCGCACTGAATAAATCCAAAATAACTTACAGCCTGTCTCTAGTGAGCCTCCCTTTTCTGCTAAGTCCTGACAGCCAAAAGTCTCTAGTTCTACCTCTTGTGATGCTCTAACTCCAGAATATATATGCCTAATGTCTCTAGGATCATTCTCGAATTGGATTATATTTTCGAATAAAAAATCAGCAGTCTAGACCAAAAGACGTGGCTCAAGCGGTAGAGCACTTGCTTGGTGAGCGGGTGAGGCTCTTAATTCAAACCCCAGGACCGCCAAGAAAAAAAAAAAAAAAAACAGCAACCTAACGTTTCTTAATTCACAAATGAAAATAGAATCTTGGAATCTGTACTATGGAGAAATTTGGCACTAAAGGTAGCAGCCTATGAAAGGGTTTTCCGACGTTACTCCTTTGTGCTAAAAATAACTGCCATTATTTGATGGACACTTGCACAATATGTAAAAGATTATAGTTACAAGTTATCCATCTCCTTAACAACCTTGCCAAATGAATCATTTTAAAGAATGAGAACAAGGAAAGCTACACAGTTGTTTTGTTGTTCCTTTGTTTGTTTTTTGGAGTACTGGGGTTTGAACTCAAGGACTTGTGCTTGCTGGGCAGGTGCTCTACCTCTTGAGCTACTCCACCAACCCAACACAGTTCTCAAATAAAGTTAGGATTTGAATCCAGATCACATTTGATCCAAAGGCAAATAGTACAATCCCTATCATCCTATGTGATAATTTGCTTCTGAATTGTCAAATTTTAACTACCAACACCACACGAAAAAAACTGTTATTGTTGAGTTGATAAGATTTCAGCCAATGAAAAGAAACTTGATATTTAAGGTACCTAATTCATTCATTCATGACTGTACTAAGACCACCTTGTTCTCTGCGCTTATGGTATTTACAATGTAATTGCAAAGAAAAAACAAGCAATTCAATGGGGTGTAAAAAGTTGTATGGATACCCACAAAAAAAACACTGGTGTTGCACATCCTACCTCTACTTTAAAAACATCATAGAACCTTAATATAAGAACTAAAACTATAAAATTTTGGAAGAAAACAGGTATATATATTCATGACCCTGGATTTAGATATGATATAAAAAACAAAAAAAAAGATAAATTGGATTTCATCAAAACCAAACAATTCTGATCTGGAGACATGGGTCAAGCAATAGAGTGTCTGCCTACCAATCATGAAGCCCTGAGTTCAAACCCCAGTACCAAAAAAAAAAAAAAAATGCTAAATATGGCTGTATGTCAGATATTTATCAAGAAAACAAAATGAGCAAAATTATACATCTGATAAGTAATTAGTATCCATAATATATAAAGAACTCTTGTAATTCAACTGTGAAAAGACAAATAACTTTTTTTTTTTTTTTTTGCAGTACTGGGGCTTGAACTCGGGGCATTCACCTTAAGCTACTCTACCAGCCCTATTTTTGTAGAGGGTTTTTTGAGATGGGGTCTTGCAGAACTATTTCCCCAGGCTGGCTTCGAACCACAGTCCTCCTGATCTCTGCTTCCTGAGTTGCTAGGATTACAGGTGTGAGTCACCAGTGCCCGGCAATAACTCAGTTTTTAAGTGAGAAAGAATATGAATAGATGCATCCCCAAAAAGGATATGTAAATGCATGTAAATGATGGTCAACATCATTGGTTAGAAGGGAAGTACAAATCAAAACCACAATGAGCTGGGTGTGGTGGCAACACTACTGTAGTCCAGCTACTCGAAAGACTGAGGTAGCTTTAGCCCAGGAGTTTGAGGCCAGCCTGGAAAAAATAACAAGACCTTGTCTTTTATGAGAAAAACAACACAATGCATCCTGGAGACTCTGAGTTCCATCCCCAGGATCACCCCCCCCAAAAAATTATGTGATTAAGAATTATTAAAATACCATATGAAGGGCTGGAACTCAGTGGTAGAACACTTGTTTAGCATTTAGGAGGCACTGGGTTCAATTCCAGAACAATAAACACACACATATGCACACACACATGGTGGGGAGAGAGAGAGATTTGGCCAATAGTTGCAAAATAAGTAACAAATTGGAAAGTCTGTAAGCAAGAGGAGAAAATATATCCCAAAGACCGAAAGAAATCCATGCCAGCTGGAGGATACTGTTGGCATTAGATAGGAGCAAAATAATATGACTAAACAATGTCCCTCACATCTTTGCATCCTTAAGCCATTGCTTAATACATCACAAGCACACAGCAAATGTTTTGTGACTTGTCTCTTAGCTCCTTGCACATTTCTCCTTAGAGAAATTATTCCAGGTGCAACACCAAATATCTTGGGCAGGGAAGGTGGCAGGAACAGAAATAAGAAACTTGTAATAATCCTGGTGAGGAGTGATGGTGGCATAACGGATGGTGTTGACAGTGAGGATGGAGGTGGTGAGATGTGGTGAGATGTAACATGAATTTAGGAGGAAGAATTTTGAGGTGGTGGTTGTTTGGATTACAGGGTATAAGGGAGAAAGAAGAGAACCCAGGTTTCTGAGACATAGAACTCAGAAGAAACAGCTTTTTGGGGAGTGAGGAGGGATGCAAGCGAAGAGAACTTAATCATCACCCTGCTGAGTATTGCTGCCATGGAAGCTGCTATAAAAGCTTAGATCTGTCATGGGATACTTGCAGTGAACCTCAGGTCACAATAGTAAGCACAATAGTGGCCCCTCAGATAGTCGGCCTGTTCTGAGTTAGCTGTGCCATTAATGTAGACCAAAACATTTGTGTCTTTCTACAACGTCAGAATTTATTGAATAGCAACAGATTCAAAAGCTACCTCACTTTCATCAGCTTTATTTTTGTTTGTTTGTTTGTTTGGTGGTACTGGGGTTTGAACTCAGAGCCTCCTGCTTGCTAGGCAGGTGCTATAGCACTTAAGCCACTCCACCAGCCAGTTTCATCAGCTTTACTTCACCAAGTACTCCTGGATTCACTTGACTTGTGATAATGGCAACTGCAAGTTCGTTATTCCATTCCAATCTTAATTACTAATATCTACATTCAAATCATATATTGTACTTTACACTATTACATGTAGGTTAGCGAGAGCTGAAAAAGAACAAAGAGACTATAGGAGTTAAAGGGCCAATGCAGAGTCAATACAGAGACAAAACAGATGCAAAGAGTCACTGCAGGTATTCAAGAATTGGGTTAACTGACCAATTCTGGAGAGGTCCTGGCAAAGGGTCACAATGGTGGTATCAAAGTAGGCAGGCATCGGTAGCAGGGAGGAACATGCAGAGCTGAGGACATGTGGAAGTTCATCCCCTGGCCATCACCTGGGCAGATGCCATGACATGTACACTGAAGTGGCCTGTGATAGGTGGGTATGCCTTGCGGCTGTCTGAGATGAGCCTTGAATGAAATGATTGCAGCACTCATTGGTCTGGAATGTCCAATAAGCTCACAGTAGCAGCTGCTTCGTAGCATCAGCAAGTCCCTTATCCATCTATGCCTTATAGTTGTGCTGGGCAGATGGTGGTTAACAAGATGCCATGTTAGTCAACCTTCACATTTGTACCAAAATGAAGTACCCCAGGACAAGCTCCTGCTCCCACAAAATGGAGTAATTCAGGACAAGTCACAGCCAGAAAACTGAAGCTCTATACTCCTCCTTCATTTTCTTCTCTTGCCCCTTGATACTGAGCCCACCATCCTCCAGACCCCAGGGTCTCGTAGAGAAGTTGAAAAGGCAGTTTGCAGCAAAGGCCAATGGTTTTACCCCCATCCCCTCTCCTCTTGTTTGGGTTGTTTAAATTTCCATGAGTTTCTTGAAGGAATGCTCTTTTTTCCCTAAGATAATTCAAACTGAATTTTTCTTACTGCCATCAAGAGTTTTAATGAGGTTGGTAGAGTGGCTCAAGTGGAAGAGAGCCTGCCTGGCAAGCACAAGGGCTTGTACCACCAGAAAAAAAAAAGTTTCCATGAATACTCCACACAGGCTGTCATGACAACATACTATAGACTGGGTGGCCGATGCAATGAGAATTTATTTTCTCATAGTTCTGGAAGTTGGAAGTTCAAGATCAACATATTATCATGGTCAGGCTCTGGTGAGGACCCTCTTCCTAGTCTCCAGGTGTTCACCTTCGTGCAGTACCATATGGCAGAGAGAGAGCTGCCTCTCTTGTCAGGCCACACTACATTCCTCTCCTCCACCCTGTGAACTCATTTATTTTTTTTCCTTTAGTGGGACTAGGATTTAGTACTTGCAAGGTTTCACACTTGCAAGACAGGCAGTTGAGCCATGCCTCCAGTCCATTTTACTCTGGTTATCTTTTGGAGATGGAGTCTTGCAAACTATTTGCCTGGGCTAGCCTTGAACCTTGATCCTCCTGATCTCAGCCTCCCAACTAGCTAGGATTGTAGACATGAGCCACACCTACCTGGCTCTCATGTAGTCTTAATTAACCTCCTAAACACCCAGTTCCAGATATAGTCATATTGGGGGTTAGGGTGTCAACATATGAATTTGGGGGGGGATACAATTCAGTCCATAGCATTTCCATTGGCCTCAGAAAGCTAGTAGAAGGCCCTCACCCTTGTCTGAAAGAATCAGATAACATCAGACTTGTGGGCCCACAGATGATAGTAAAATTTCAGACAAAGCCAGGCT